TTGGTTTCTCAGTTAGTTCACCTTCATGTTCAGTCAGGACTTGTCAGAAATGTTCGATTGCACCACTCATGGAGGCCCTGCCTGGTTGCCTTGGCCACTTCGGAGTGCAAGGATCCAACTTTTCCTTTGCAGACCTGAGCCATGGCTTATGCCTTTGTTGGTGAGCAGTTCATTCAGATCAGATCAGTCACATACTGTCCAACGCCCCGATTGTGTGTGCCTCCATCACTCGAAGATGCCATCCCATGTCTTGGCGCGCCACGGTGTCAGGGACACGTCCGGGGTAGAGGAGGCCCGGGTGAGACACCCGACACTAGAAGCCTCGCGGGGTGTAGAGCGGGCGTGCGTACTGGCGGGCCCAGCTCAGGAGGCAGTCCCTGGCCACTTAGACTGAAGTGGAAAAGGGTGTTATTATTATTAAAAGGGAGTACTATGTTACTTACCTGAAGTGGAAAAGGGTGAGAAGAAGGCTACTTCTTCGGTTCCTGTCATATCCATCCCCGGCCATCGACTCCCGGGCTCTCCGACCCCTCCGTCCTCACTCCGCTCCCCCCTCACCAACCTCGGAGCCCCCGTATTCCGCAAACCTCCCGGTGCCCCTCAATGACCACCACCCCCTCATTTCAATTTATTACCTACGCCTCCCTAAGTACGGAGCCCCGAAGACTTCCGGACAGCTCCGACGTCCGCTAGCGCACTCCCGCCTCCGCTGGGCAATACACTCGCCTGCCCTGCAGAGTCCACCTTCGGGCTTATCCCTCCTTTCCGTTTCTGGGTTAACGCCTGCCTTTCCGCTAACCCCACGAACCGACTCGTCGGTAATATTCAGTCGGCTAATGTCTTAACCCCGTTAGCTCCGCTCCGTCCGGCTCCGCCAATTGCGGAACCGCCTCCGCTGTAACCATATATATACACTACTTGTACATAGGTTACGCCCCAGCAAATAAATCAACTAGAGTTACCCCCACTAGGTTCTAAGTGCCAGTCAGTAAGTTAGGGCACGGACGTGTCACTAGGCACAGCGCTCCTGGCAGAAGTCGCTGAGGCCAAAGCCCTCCGTTACGGAGACATTCCTTCGTCTTAAAATCTGGTCTCTGACAGTTCCCACTTCAGGTATGTTTATATACATGCGGCTTAGGTCACATGACGGGTGCCACGTCATCCTCGCATACAGCCGTAGTCACCCAGGTGTCCCCGTGGGGGATCCCAAGGGCATCCGCTGTGAACGCGCGAGCTGGACATAGCAGGGGTCGCCCGAGGTGCCCGGGCTATCTAATCACAGTGGGTATTATGAATCATAATACTTGTGCCATGGCGATTTTTTGGTATCATAAAAAAGAGAAAAATCACACCTTTCCAACGGTGTAACGGGAATGGAAGTCCGGTAAACGGTTCAGGAGTTATGGCCAATTCATTGTCGTGCCCTATCGTGCCATTGGCCAGTACTCGGCCAGTTCTCAATATTATGAAATATAAACGAGTGTCCAAAGGCCGTATGGATCTCCTCTACAAGATGCAAAAGACCCCGAGCGAATAGCTGCCACGGTTACTGAGTTATTGAGGAAACAAAGTTGTGCCCTGAGTTTTAGTGTTTGAGCTCAAGTTGAGAATCGATTCATTTGGGGTGTATAGCATATCAAAAGGTAGGTATTGAAAATATATACACGATGCAGAAAACTCTGAGTGAAACGGGTCACTGGTTGTGAAGTTATTCAAGAAATAAAGTTTGAACATGGGACCATGGGCACGAGTGGAGGGCACAAGTGTGTTTATTGAATAGCTCAAGAACGAGAGCAGCTATTGACTCAGGGTCTTTTGCATCCGGTGAAGATTATCAATACGGCCTTTGGAACGTCAACGGCGCGTGATAATACTGAGAAATGGGGGAGAAAACAGCAATGGCACAAGTAGGGCACGATTGACTTGTGCCCAATCGTGCCATGGACCATTACTCGTCCATTTGTTGGTATTATCAGGCTTTGATGAATGTCCAAAGGCCGTATGGATGTCCTATACAACATGCAACAAACCCAGAGTGATTAGCTGCCCTGGTTACCAAGTTATCATGGAAAGAAAATAGTGTGCCAAGTTGTGCCCTATCGTGCCATTGGCCAGTACTTGTTTACTTCTTAATATTATAGGGCATTTTGGAACCTGGGTCCATCATTTTCAAAATAAAGTATCAGGGTTGATCCATTTCATGCTTCTTGAGTCGATAGTCTGGTGGAATTTGGGGCACCACCAACGACCCAAAAAAATATTAAAAAAATAGACCAGAGGCCATTCTGTGCGTCTTTGATGCATGCCTCATGCCTGGCAATCCAGCAGCTCAGATATCACTAATAGAAAATTTTAAAAAATAGCCAAGATGTCATTCTGTGCCTCCTGGACGCATGCCTCTCACCTGGCAATCCAGTGGCTCAGATATCAGTGATAAAAATATTAAAAAATAAGCCAGAGGCAATTTTGTGCGTCTCAGATGCATGCATCATGCCTTGGAATCCAGCAGCCCAGATATTATTAATAGAAATAAGCCAGAGATTACTCTGTGCGTCTTAGACGCATACCTCACACCCGGCAATCCAGTGGCTCAGATATTAGTAATAAAAATATTGAAAAATGAGCCAGAGGCCATTCTGTGCATCATAGACGCATGCATCATGCATGGCAATCCAGTGGCTCAGAGGCCACTCAGAAAAGTATTAAAAGATAGCCCAGGGGCCATTCTGATGCCTGCCTCCCGCCTGGCAATCCAGCGAGTCAGATGTCACTAATAGAAATATATTAAAATCACCCAGAGGCCACTCTGTCAATATCTGACACATGCTCCCCGCCTGGCAACCCAACGGGCCATATGTCACTAATAAAACTATTGAAAAATTACTTCGAGCCAATTTTGTGCATCTTCGACGCATGCCCATGGCCTGGCAATCCAGAGACACATATTATTTCAGTCATAAATTTTTTAAAATCACCCAGAGCCCACTCTGTGCTTCGAAGACGCACCCTCCTGCTTGGCAATCCGGCAGCCTGGATGCTAGTCATAAAACTGTTTAAAAATCGCCCAGAGGCCATTCTGTGCGTCTGCGATGCACGCCTCTTGCCTGGCAATCCAGGAGGCCAAATAATTATTAAAAAATGTGAAGAGCTTATTCTGTGTGTCTTCGACGCATGCATTTTGCCTGGCAATCTAGCAGGTCAGATGTCACTCATAAAATTATTGGAAAATTACCCAGAGCCAATTCTGTGCGTCTTGGACGCGTGCCTTCTGCCTGGCAATTCAGTGACTCATACTTCAGTCATAAAATTATTTAAAAGTCGCCCAGAGGCCATTCTGTGCGTCTTCGACGCATGACTCCTGCTTGGCAATCCAACAGGTCAGATGTCACTAATAGAATTATTGGAAAATTGCTTAGAGGCAATTCTGTGCGTCTTTGACGCATGCCCCCCACCTGACAATCCAGAGACTCATATTTTAGTCATAGAAATATGTAAAAATTGCCCACGGGCCATTCTGTGCGTCTTTGACGCATGCCTTTTGCCTGGTAATCCAGCAGGTCAGATGTTACTAATAAAATTATTTAGAAATCGCTCAGAGGCCATTCTGTGCGTCTTTGACGCATGCACCCTGCCTGGCAATCCAGCAGCTTAAATAAAATTCTTAGAAAATGGCCGGGGGGCTATTCTGTGCATCTTTGACGCATGCATTATGCCTGGCAATCCAGCGGCCTAGCTGTCAGTGATAAAAATATTTGAAAATACCCAAGAGGCCATTAGGTGCATCGTAGATGCACGCCTTATGCCTGGTCATCCAGCAGCTCAGAATTATTTATTAAAAATAAGGCCATTTTGTGCGTCTTAGATGCATGCTACCCACCTGGCAATCCAGCAGCCCGGATATCAGAAATAAAATTATTGAAAAATTACCAAGATACCATTCTGTGCATCTTAGATGCATGCCTCCCACCTGGCAATCCAGCAGTTTAGTTATGAGTAATTGAATTTTTGAAAAATAAAATTGCCAAGAGGCCACTCTGTGCATCCCTGATGCATGCCTCCTGCCTGGAAATCTAGCAGCTTAGATATTGGTCATAGAATTTCTAAAAAATGGCCAAGAGGCTGTTCTGTGTGTCTTCAATACATGCCTTATGCCTGGCAATCTAGCAGCTTAGGTGTTAGTGATAAAAATATTGAACAATACCCAAGAGGCCATTATGTGCATTATGTCTGGCAATCCAGTGGCTCAGGTATCAGTCATAAAAGTTGTGAGCCCAGAGCCTATTATGTGCATCCTGGATGTTGTCAGGGTTGGCTCCAAAGGTGGTGTCATATCCATCCATGACCATCACCCCCCACCACCTCTGGTCCTTCCAGATTACCTAACCTCGGAGCTTCCAGATTCTGCAATCCCCTCCGACTCCCCTGATGGTTGTCATATCTGTACATAGCCAGTCCCGATCCGACTTCCGGACCCTCCTCTCCACCACCTCCAGAGTCTACCTTACCCATGTCTGCTCCAATACCCACCTTTGGACATGATGCCTCTCCTCCCACTCCTCACCTCCCCCTCTCACTCCTCCTATCATCCCTTACCTTCTGTCTGCTCCAATACCCACCTTCGGATGTGACCACACTCCTCTCCTCCTACTCCTCTCCCCACTCCTCTCATCACTCTCCTTCCTCTGACCCTCTTCTGCCAACCTCTGCCAAAGTTACGACCTTCCACTGCAGTCCCATACCCTGTACTCAGACTGTCAGAGACCAGGTTGAGAGGAGGGAGTGTCTCCGTGGCGGAGGGCTTTGGCCTCAGCGACTTGTGCCAGCTGTGCCAAGTAACACGTCCGTGCCCTAACTTACAAAGCTGGCAACCAGAACTAAAGGGGGATAAACTCTGGTCGATTTTATTACTGAAGTGTAACCTATGTACAAGTTGAGTATATATAGTTACAGTGAGGGTGGATCCGCAAATGGCAGAGCCAAGTGGAGTGGAGCTAATGGGGTTAAACATTAACCGATTGGACCAAGTAAAAGTCGAGGATCTGCTGGATATTCTTGGTCAATACCAGGTTCGTGGTCCCTTGAACGAGCTGAGGGACCCCGTCACTGTTATCCGAGTTGGGGAAAGAATCCTTCAGGTGCTTGGTAGCGCTCTCCTTCAATTTGATATGAGCATTTGCTAGCAGCTCATCTAGTGATTCCGGCAGATCTGGTGGAAGTGTGTGGTTAGGTCTTGGTAGACGGAAAGGAGCAGGTGGTGTGATGTAGGGGGTAGTTGAAAGTATTCTTTCGAGCTCGTCGATGGTAAAGCCGGAGAGGTGTTTGAGATACCGATCCAGCAGTAGCCGACGCCGTCCCAATCCAAGTGTGGCTCGTGCTTTGAATCCAGGGGAAATTGGCCTATGCCAATCATCTGTCATGTTCAGGTTGTAATCGATGTCCCTGAACCAGATGACATTTCCCGAGGCAAATGGGCGGTATTCTTCATTTTCCGCCTGCGCCCTCCATGGATTCCTGTCACGTCCATCTAACAGATCTGGGTGGGAGAAGTTGTCGGTGACAGGGAGGGAAGCACACATGAGCTGGTGCTCTGATGAACCTGCTGCTGGTCTCCTGTTCAGCATGTTGATCCGCCATGTGAGTGCAGCACTGAGCTCCAGAGCATGTCGTGCCAGTCTAGACCGGGGGGTCCCATTCATCTGAGCCTCAATGACCTGACGACATGCACGAGCCATCAGAAGCTTGAACAGCCTAGTTTCAACAGTAAGCCACTTCCATATTCTAGCAATTTCAGACTCACCACCACCGATCTGCAGGCACTGAGATGGTGCACTGCTCGATGAACTCCTTTGTCACTGTTCTCAGGGAATTTTTGGCTTTTCGAAGGGGAACGCGTATCTCCAATCTTGCCGTCCCTTCCGTCCTCTCATGATGAGCTGAATTCCACACTTCCTCCAGATTATCGAATTCCACTCTCAGTTTATCCTTGGTTTTTTCTCCAAACACGTTCTTTTTCGTGATTCCCAGCATAGGGTCAAACCTGTCAGCTCTCCTACAAACCCCCTTCTCCGACGCATACCATTGTGCATAAATGGGTAAGCGGGGGAGATGAGGCAATGCACAACGTCCTCCAGCCAGAGATAGGATTCCTGCTTGAATGTCGCAGAAATACCCCTCCCTTCCAGGCTGTGTCCATTGTCTTTCCACATCCCCCTGATACCCTGTGGCAAGGACCTGAAGAATTCGGTGGTGCTCTGATGCATCCCAGTGAAGAACATGGGCCTTCCTGCTTATTTCGAGCCCCACATCCACCCACGTGCTTTGCTGTTCTAGAGATGTGAGTCCACTGTGAAACATCCCCAGGATAAGTTGTCTGAAGATCGTCTCTTGATCCTCTTCACTGGAACCCTGCCCTTCCTCTGTGCCATTGTTAAAAGGGACAGGATGTGTGGTGCTGAGTTTGATTCCCTTGATCTCAAGGCCAAAGAAGAAGCTGCGAGCCCATTCGAAGCGTTCCTTCTTCCTCTCCAGGCAATCTCTCATATGTTCCACCAGTTCACCTAGCAGAGCAGCAGAAACCAGACGCTTCCCACCCACCAGCTTGCCATCCTTGGTGCGGGAGAGGATGCCACCCAAGAGCCGATAAGGGGGAAATGAAGGCGAGGAATGTGGAAGGATATGAATCAAAGCTGGACGCAGGATTTCATCGTAGAATTCCGCAATATAAGTCTCGCTGACCCTGTTGTTGTTGTTGTTGCCGTTGTTGTTGCTGTTGTTGTTGCCGTTGTTGTTGCCGTTGTTGGTGCCATTGTTGTTGCCATTGTTGTTGCCATTGTTGTTGCCGTTGTTGTTGCCGTTGTTGTTGCCATCGTTGTCATTGTCGGTATTGTTGGAGTTGTTGGTGTTATTTGTGTGGGTTGGGCCAGGTGGGGTTGTGGAAGGGGTGAAGTATGGGAAAAAAATTCTAATGAGGCCATTTTTTGAATAATTGCCAAGGCAATAGTTGGCAATCTTATTTGGTGCTGTCACATGGTCCCCAGGTTCACAGTTCTGGATGGAAGTGAGTTGTAAGGGTTAGAGTATGAATGACACTAAGGCTCACAATCTCGAATAGATGATCTGGAAGCTTCACATGCAGATTGGTGGAACCAGAGAGAGAATCCATAGGACGAGGGACAAGGGAAAGCTCCACACTGTCGAATAATGGCAACCCCTGATAGAACCCAATGATAGAGTCAAAGTCCCTGTGGAGGGAGATGCCTGCATCATCACCAGACAGGTTGGTTTTCATGTCTGCAGTATCAAGCTTGTAATATCTGCCATCATCATTCTTGCCTTCTAAAAGGAGTTGCTCAAATTGGATGTTCAGCCCCCCTGGTGTTCTGACAGAATCCAATCTGAATGCCTTTCTGACATATGCTGGGAACCTGATGGGCTGGAGATCTTCACCCAGATCTGAAGGTGTTGTTTCCCTGGATGCCATGGAGGGTTGTGAATGTGCAATAGAGAAAAAATTTCGGCAAGTGCCATTGAATACCGTGCCCACAATTGAATCCACTGTGACAGAAATTTCTGTCACACCTTCTCTAATATGTTCATGTGACTGTGACAGGAATTTCTGTCACACAATGTCTCTCCCACTGGTTGGTTGTATTACTGTTCTTGAGCACTAGTATGCCTGCACACTAAGGCAATGATAATTTCCGTTCGCAACTCAACCATAAAGGTTATATTACTACTTTAAGAACACTACTCCACATAGTAGCTTGGTATATTATATTTTGCTGCACATCAGGCTTGCTCACGAACACAACATCGAGGGAGTTCTTAGTGCAACATGTTATGATTTGGTTTGCAATCAAAAGCAGAATGCGCTGCATGTTCTTGTTGTTCACTAAGCACTATTATTAAGCTACCCTCGTTGTGTTTTGGTTGTGTTGTTTGTGAACAACAGTACGCTGTGTTGCACTAAACTAAGAAATACATCAATTGTTGGAAATCCCTTATGGCCACTGACTTGTCATATTATTTGCATATCCTGCTCCACCAGAAGGTTGTTGAAGAATAAGTGCAATGCCATATATATCGGTTCGACATGGTGTCGAACATCACGTGAAATATGACACACAAGAAAGATGAAACACACTGGGACCACTGCTTCCTAAATGGAAGGAAGTGCTGGCATGCAACCACGGTAACACTTTCGGGTCAGGACCAGGAGTTGGGTGCACCTGGACGCAGTTCCTCAGCACCAGGGTAATCCCGCAAAGGATTAGGCTGGCGGTGCCACAAAGTACAACTACCGTAGTACCTCTTGTCCCACAAAAACCACCTTGAAGAGTACCAAACATCTCTCCTCATCTCTCCACAGCCAAACCTCAACAATCCCCAAAATCCTCCCCCACTGCCTCTTAACTTTAATGAGGAAGATGACCCCATGGTTGACAGCTCCCCCATACATGCAACCTTTGGCAGTACCCCTGCCAGAGAAGTGGCCAAATGCCTCAGATCCCCCGACTCATCCAATATGCAGGGTTGGATCGTCGATCATCATAAAGTCAAGTTACACCTAAGTTACAATCGGCAATGAGCCAAGATGACTCTGCTAACCGACCTCCGGGAGCCAACAAGTCCCTGCTGACAGACCCTCCGAGGGACAACAAGTCCCGCTGGAACAACCAAGAGATGGTGTCTTCGATTCGCTCCTGCAAGACCTCGATCAGATCCTCGCCGATTACAACCTCCAGAAATCGTCCATATTCGAAGCGTACAATGCAGTCAACGCACGGTTGGAGTCAGAGTCAGACCTTACGACCACCCAACGTGCAGACACCTCGAAGAGGTACGGAGACCGACTCGAGGTCGCAGCTCGCTCCCGAACAGAAGCTGGAGTTAGAGGATCGCGAGGTGAGCAACCAAGTAGGCGAGACGAGACTGCTGCTCGAGCCGATGGGGCTCACGAATCAAGCCCTATCTAATCACAGTGGGTATTATGAATCATAATACTTGTGCCATGGCGATTTTTTGGTATCATAAAAAAGAGAAAAATCACACCTTTCCAACGGTGTAACGGGAATGGAAGTCCGGTAAACGGTTCAGGAGTTATGGCCAATTCATTGTCGTGCCCAGTCGTGCCCTAGTCATGCCCTATCGTGCCATTGGCCAGTACTCGGCCAGTTCTCAATATTATGACATATAAATTGGTGTCCAAAGGCCGTATGGATCTTCTCTACAAGATGCAAAAAACCCCGAGCGAATAGCTGCCACGGTTACTGAGTTATTGAGGCAACAAAGTTGTGCCCTGAGTTTCAGTGTTTGAGCTCAAGTTGAGAATCGATTTGTTTGGGGTGTATAGCATATCACAAGATAGGTATTGAAAATATATACACGATGCAGAAAACTTTGAGTGAAACGGGTCACTTGTTGTGAAGTTATTCAAGAAATAAAGTGTGAACATGGGACCAAGGGCACAAGTGGAGGGCACAAGTGTGTTTATTGAATAACTCGGGAACGAGAGCAGCTATTGACTCAGGGTCTTTTGCATCCGGTGGAGATTATCAATACGGCCTTTGGAACATCAACAAGGCCTGATAATACCGAGAAATGGGAGAGAAAACAGCAATGGCACAAGTAGGGCACGATTGACTTGTGCCCAATCGTGCCATGGACCATTACTCATCCATTTGTTGGTATTATCAGGCTTTAATAAATGTCCAAAGGCCGTATGGATGTCCTCTACAAGATGCAGCAAACCCGGAGTGATTAGCTGCCCTGGTTACCAAGTTATCAAGGAAAGAAAATAGTGTGCCAAGTCGTGCCCTATCGTGCCATTGGCCAGTACTCGGCCAGTTCCCAACATTATGAAATATAAACGAGTGTCCAAAGGCCGTATGGATCTTCTCTACAAGATGCAAAAAACCCCGAGTGAATAGCTGCCACGGTTACTGAGTTATTGAGGAAACAAAGTTGTGCCCTGAGTTTTAGTGTTTGAGCTCAAGTTGAGAATCGATTCATTTGGGGTGTATAGCATATCAAAAGGTAGGTATTGAAAATCTATACACGATGCAGAAAACCCTGAGTGAAACGGGTCACTGGTTGTGAAGTTATTCACGAAATAAAGTTCAAACATGGGACCATGGGCACAAGTGGAGGGCACAAGTGTGTTTATTGAATAGCTCGAGAACTAGAGCAGCTATTGACTCAGGGTCTTTTGCATCCGGTGGAGATTATGAATACGGCCTTTGGAACATCAACGATGCCTGATAATACTCAGAAATGGGGGAGAAAACAGCAATGGCACAAGTAGGGCACGATTGAGTTGTGCCCAATCGTGCCATGGACCATTATTCATCCATTTGTCGGTATTATCAGGCTTTGATGAATGTACAAAGGCCGTATAGATGCCCTGTACAAGATGCAACAAACCCGGAGTGATTAGCTGCCCTGGTTACCAAGTTATCAAGGAAAGAAAATAGTGTGCCAAGTCGTGCCCTATCGTGCCATTGGCCAGTACTTGTTGAGTTCTTAATATTATGACATATCAATTGGTGTCCAAAGGCCGCATGGATCTTCTCTACACGATGAAAAAAACTCTATCTAATCACAGTGGGTATTATGAATCATAATACTTGTGCCATGGCGATTTTTTGGTATCATAAAAAAGAGAAAAATCACACCTTTCCAACGGTGTAACGGGAATGGAAGTCCGGTAAACGGTTCAGGAGTTATGGCCAATTCATTGTCGTGCCCAGTCGTGCCCTAGTCGTGCCCTATCGTGCCATTGGCCAGTACTCGGCCAGTTCTCAATATTATGAAATATAAACGAGTGTCCAAAGGCCGTATGGATCTCCTCTACAAGATGCAAAAAACCCCGAGTGAATAGCTGCCACGGTTACTGAGTTATTGAGGAAACAAAGTTGTGCCCTGAGTTTCAGTGTTTGAGCTCAAGTTGAGAATTGATTTGTTTGGGGTGTATAGCATATCACAAGATAGGTATTGAAAATATATACACGATGCAGAAAACCTTGAGTGAAACGGGTCACTCGTTGTGAAGTTATTCAAGAAATAAAGTGTGAACATGGGACCAAGGGCACGAGTGGAGGGCACAAGTGTGTTTATTGAATAGCTCGAGAACGAGAGCAGCTATTGACTCAGGGTCTTTTGCATCCGGTGGAGATTATGAATACGGCCTTTGGAACATCAACGGTGCCTGATAATACTGAGAAATGGGGGAGAAAACAGCAATGGCACAAGTAGGGCACGATTGACTTGTGCCCAATCGTGCCATGGACCATTACTCATCCATTTGTTGGTATTATCAGGCTTTGATAAATGTCCAAAGGCCGTATGGATGTCCTCTACAAGATGAAGCAAACCTGGAGTGATTAGCTGCCCTGGTTACCAAGTTATCAAGGAAAGAAAATAGTGTGCCAAGTCGTGCCCTATCGTGCCATTGGCCAGTACTTGTTGAGTTCTTAATATTATGACATATAAATTGGTGTCCAAAGGCCGCATGGATCTTTTCTACACGATGAAAAAAACTCTGAGTGAAACGGGTTACTTGTTGTGAAGTTATTCAAGAAACAAAGTTGGACAATGGGCAAATGGGGCACAAGGCACAAGTGTGTTTATTGAATAACTCGGGAACGAGAGCAGCTATTGACTCAGGGTCTTTTGCATCCGGTGAAGATTACGAATACGGCCTTTGGAACATCAACAAGGCCTGATAATACCGAGAAATGGGAGAGAAAACAGCAATGGCACAAGTAGGGCACGATTGACTTGTGCCCAATCGTGCCATGGACCATTACTCGTCCATTTGTTGGTATTATCAGGCTTTGATGAATGTCCAAAGGCCGTATGGATGTCCTCTACAACATGCAACAAACCCGGAGTGATTAGCTGCCCTGGTTACCAAGTTATCATGGAAAGAAAATCGTGTGCCAAGTCGTGCCCTATCGTGCCATTGGCCAGTACTTGTTGAGTTCTCAATATTATGACATATAAATTAGTGTCCAAAGGCCGTATGGATCTTTCCTACAAGATGAAAAAACTTTGAGTGAAAGAGGTTACTTGTTGTGAAGTTATTCGAGAAACAAAGTTGGACAACGGACAAATGGGGCACAAGGCACAAGTGTGTTTATTGAATAACTCGAGAACGAGAGCAGCTATTGGCTCAGGGTTTTTTGCATCCGGTGAAGATTATTAATACGGCCTTTGGAACATCAACAAGGCCTGATAACACGGAGAAATGGGAGAGAAAACAGCAATGGCACAAGTAGGGCACGATTGACTTGTGCTCAATCGTGCCATTGGCCATTACTCATCCAATTGTTGGTATTATCAGGTTGCGACGGATGTCCAAAGGCCGTATAGATACTCCCTACAGGGCTTAAAAGACTTTGAGTGAATAGTTGCTCTGGTGACTGAGTTATTGCAAAAAGAAAGTTGTGCCAACATGGCACAAGTTGAGGGCACAAGTCTGTTTGTTGAATAGCTCAGGAACCAGAGTAGCTGTGGACTCAGGGTTTTTGGCATCTTGTAGAGGATATCCATACGGCCTTTGGAACATCAGAAGTGACTGATAATACTCAGAAATGAGGGAGAAATTGGCAATGGCACAAGTAGGGCACGATCGACTTGTACCCAATCGTGCCATGGGCCATTATTCATCCATTTGTTGGTATTATCAGGTTGTAATGACTGTCCAAAGGCCGTATAGATACTCCCTACAGGACGTAAAAAACTTTGGGGCAATAGTTGCTCTGGTGACTGAGTTATTGAGAAAAGAAGTAGGGCCAACATGGCACAAGTTGAGGGCACAAGTTTGTTTGTTGAATAACGCAGGAACCAGAGTAGCTATGAACTCGGAGTCTTTTGCATCTCATAGAGGATATCCATACGGCCTTTGGAACATCAAGAACACCTGATAATACTGAGAAATGAGAGAGAAATCATCAATGGCACGATCGACTTGTGCCCAATCGTGCCCTGGGCCACCACTCATTCATTTGTCAGTATTATCAGGTTGTAACGAGTGTCCAAAGGCCATATGGATCTCCCCTACACGACACAAAAGACCAGGAATTCATAGCTGCTCTGGTTCTTGAGATATTGAGAAAGGAAAGTTGTGCCTTTTCAGCAGGGGCACAAATGGCACAAGTACATATAGGAGATGAAATAGGCAGCTTGGACTGGACCATGTGATCAAGTTTGCTTTGGCTTGATCATGTGGTCAAGTTTGCTTTGGCTTGATCATGTGATCAAGTTTGGTTTGGCTTGATCATATGATCAAGCCAGCTTGAGCTTGATCATGTGATCAAGTTTGCTTGAACTTGATCATGTGATCAAGTTTGGTTTGGCTTGGTCATGTGGTACAGGCTGAGGGCACAAGTTGATATTGATTGAATAACTTGGGAAGGAGAGTAGCTAGGGACTTGGGGTTTTTTTCACCCCATCAAGGATATCAATTCAGCCTTCTCTGGTGACTGAGTCATTGCAAAAAGAAAGTTGTGCCAACATGGCACAAGTCAAGGGCACAGGTTTGTTTGTTGAATAGCTCAGGAACCAGAGTAGCTACAGACTCCGGGTCTTTTGAATCTTGTAGAGAATATTCATACGGCCTTTGGAACATCAATAGTGCCTGATAATACTCAGAAATGAGGGAGAAAACGGTGATGGCACGAGTAGGGCATGATCCACTTGTGCCCAATCGTGCCATGGGCCATTACTCATCCATTTGTTCGTATTATCAGGTTGTGATGAGTGTCCAAAGGCCGTATAGATCTCCCCTACAGGATGAAAAAAACCATGAGTTCATAGCTGCTCTGGTGACTGAGTTATTGCAAAAAGAAAGTCGTGCCAACATGGCACAAGTCGAGGGCACAAGTCTGTTTGTTGAATAGCTCAGGAACCAGAGTAGCTATGGACTCGGGGTTTTTTGAATCTTGTAGAGAATATCCATACGGCCTTTGGAACATCAATACTGCCTGATAATACTCAGAAATGAGGGAGAAAATGGCGATGGCACGAGTAGGGCACGATCGACCTGTGCCCAATCGTGCCATGGGCCATTACTCATCCATTTGTGCGTATTATCAGGTTGTGAAGAGTGTCCAAAGGCCGTATAGATTTTCTCTACAGGATGAAAAAGACCATGAGTTCATAGCTGCTCTGGTGACTGAGTTATTGCAAAAAGAAAGTCATGCCAACATGGCACAAGTGGAGGGCACAAGTTTGTTTATTAAATAACTCTGGAACG